TTTAAAGCCAAAGGAGGCATTTTGTCCAGTACTATACCCATCTTAAGTTTTGGTTTTTCACAGAGGAGGACTCTTCTGCTGTGGGCTGATTTTTGTTGTTGCTGATTTTGTTTTATTCTTTTGCAGTGTTGGGACAGAGCCCAGAGTGTTGTGATATGGGCAGTTTTAAACTGCCTAAAAGTCAATTTTCAAATAATTCAGTTTCTAGAATTCAGAGCCATGGAAACTACTTGGGAGAATGAGTTATTACATAAAATTTATTCATGGTGACTTTATTTTTGTGATACTAGGGAATCTAGGCAAATATCCTACCACTGTGCTACAACCTTATGCTGGGGGCACATGTTTAATAAGCACCTGCCTCTTATTAGGCTCTGAGCTATGCAGGGACAAAAGACACATCTCCCCTGAGGATGGTGGACAGAGAATTGAGATACCTATTCTAAGTGCCACAAGGGAGCACAAGGTACCATGGGAAACAACAGGGTTGGTGAGGATCCAACCCTGGGTTTCAAAGGTGTTCCCCAGGGGAGGTGAAGTCACAGCTGGAGCTCAAAGAATAAGTGGGAATTAGTCAGGTCTGAGGCAGAGGGAAAGGTGTTAGAGGCACAGGGAATAGTAGATGCAAAGACCAGAAGACACAGAGGCCCTGTGGGGAAAGCTGCGATGACCACCGTTGGCAGGGGAGCATGGCCAGGGATGAGGGTAATGAGGTGGGCTCCTGCATGACAAGAGGAAGCTGTAGTCCTGTAGTCTGGAGCTATCAGAAGACTCATTGTGTGACGTTACAACTGGGTTTTGGAAAGGTTTTCTGAGAAACACAAGATTAGTAGAAAACAGAGGGAGGAGACGGTGCTGATGGCTTGAAGGGATAACAGAATCATCCTATGTGCTCTGACCGAGACAGCCAGAGACATGAATGCTTAGTGGTTTCAGAGGTAAAATGAACAGGTAGGCAGACCAGATTGATTGACTGATTTTTGAGACAAGATCTCACTATGTAGTCATAGCTAACTGTAAACTCACAGAGATCTGCCTGCCTCTGTCTCCTGAGTGTGTACTGAATGTTCCTTCCACCGCTGCCTCCTAAACTGTGTAGGCATGTATAACCATACCCAATCATTTTCAGTAGTTCTGTTCCAAGTTTGCCACCTCACAAACGAGAACAAACAGGCCAAGTGTGAAGTGGTGTTTGAAATCCCGGAAGCAGAGAACTGTGAGCTTCCAAAAATTCAAACAGAAGAAATTGCGAAAGTATGAAGACCACACCATTCTGTCTGAGGTCCAATGCCCTCCAGATGTCTCCAGATCATAAGGGGGACACTTTTCCTGTCTGTAGCTTCACCAACCCTCCCACCCCAACCCTCTGGCAGCCCCAGCCTTCTCTGCTTCAGAAACCTTCTGCTCTAGCCAAGGGGAATCACACAGACTATCACCTGAGAAGGCCTTCCCTACTTTACCTCTCCACCTGCTGAGATGCCCGGGCCTGCCTCACCATACATCATCTGTGCTCTTGAAGGTCCTGATGAAATCCCAACTCTCCAGAAAGCTTCTTGGTGTGAGATCATCTCTTCCTTCCCAGCATCTTTCACCACCTCTCCCTTTGTGGTCCTGGGTGTTGAGTCTAGGGCCTATGCATTCTAGGCAGGTGCTCTGCCACTGAGCTGTCTCCTCAGCCCCTTCCCCCATGGCAGGTTTATAAGCTATTATGCATCATTAGTTTTTCATGAGCCTGACCCTTGTCACCCAGACCAGATTCCTTCAGGTCAAGTACTATTCTGCTCCATAACAAACCACTTGAAAGTTTAGTGTCTTAAGACAGATATGGTGACTCACACCTTTAATCCCAGCATGTAGGAGACTGAGGCAAGAGGATAGCAAGTGTGAGGCCATCTTGGGCACTGTGACACTGTCTCAATGCACCTCCTATCCCACTTAAAAAGATGGGGCAGCTTAAACAACATCCATTCCAATTGCATCCCTTAGTGTCATGGGTCAGGGACTTGAGCAGAGGCTCCAAAGGGCCTCTACGGCTTTCTGCCACATGCTGGCAGTCCCCAGCAGTGGGCATGACTATCTTATATTATTACTTTCTAAGGCCAACTGGCTCTCACGGTCAATCTCCTTTCTTACCTATGATCAATGTGATGACTTCATGAGCCACCAGGTCAGTCTCAAGCTGTCAGCTAAGAGCCAGATTTTCCTTTCATGAAAAGGACTTCTATTCCAGAGCCATCCTATCCAATCCTCCCCCTGCCTCTACCAACTGGTTTCAGTGTGTGAGAGCCAGGGTGCAGTAAACACTGGGGGAAGAAAATCACATTCTAGGAATGCAGGAGATGCTATACTGTTGTACACTAAGCCTACAAAATTCCTAACTCAATTTCTTTCATGTTTTCTGTGAATGTTTGCTGTGGCAAATATTAGGTTGTCAACTTGGACAAACACCTGGGAGGGTTGGAGTGATGTCTTAGGGGTTAATACCATTCGCTCGCTGCTCATCCAGAGGACCTGAGTTCAATTCACAGCACCCTTATCAGTAACTCCATCTGCTCATCTCCAGTAACTCAAGAGCACATGGTCACACACAGATAGATACATAGGAAAAAGGAAACACCGAGGACATACCTTCGGGTGTGTCTGAGAGGTTATTTCCAGAAAGGGCTGACTGAAGGGAGAATACTCACCGTGAACGAGTGTCATTATCCCATGTGTTAAATCCTTGACTAAATAAGACAAAAATGGAGAAAGCCAACAGGGTGAAAGCCTTCTTCCTTCAGTTTTCTGGTCTGCTGAGATGCAGTGAAGAGCTGCTTGCAGTCCCAGCACCATGAAGCTGCCTGGCACCATGAGTTTGCTGCCAGGGTGGATGGTATCTTCTCATACTGTGAGCCAAAATAAACTCTTCCTCTCCTAAGTAGCTTCTCCTCAGGCATGAGTCACAGTGAGGAGAGAACCAACTAGCAGACGCAGTACACAGTACAGGCGATCCCTGCAATGTGTACCTTCACTAGCAAAGCACAGTAACGAACTGAGTCAGTAATCACCAGTAGAGGGAAGGGTGCACAGCATCCTTCGTGCCAACGCAGTCAGCACTAGCAAATGGCACAAGGAACTGGAAAGGCAGGAAAAGCTACGGAGACCAATGCATTTAGGCCCCGAAGACCCATGGCATTATAAATAATAACAGCTTTGTTCTCTTATTTTTTTCCCATGGTGGCCAGCAATAGCACATTCAAAAATAAAGGGCAAGAACAGGTATAGTTACTGGACCCAAATAGAGACTCACAGTGCACAGACAGTGTAAAAAAAATCTTTGCTGTATTTATTACAAAAAAATGAATATTACAAAAATGAATACCATCCACCCTGGCAGCAATGTCATGGTGGCAGACAGCTTCATGGTGCTGGGGGATAGAGGCAGCTACTCACTGCATCTCAGCAGAGCAGAAAAAGAAGAGGAGGAGGAGGAGGAGAGGAAGGAGGAAGAGGAGGGACGAGGAAGAGGAGGAAAAATAAGAAGAATAAAAAGGAGAAGGAGGAGGAGGAGGAAGAAGAGAAGGAAGAGGAAGAATAAGAATAAGAAGGAGGAGGAAGAAGAGGAGGAGGAGGAAGAGGAAGAATAAGAAGGAAGAGAAGGAGGAGGAAGAGGAGGAGGAACAGGAGGAGAAGGACTGGCACTTTTTTTTCCTATTCTTCCTGTTCCCCATACATTCTGTAATACAATTTAAAATCAAAACACCTGTACAGCAAGGCCGGCAAAGATTTATCTGGGACCTCACACAAGCCAGAGATAATCCTATTGAGATACACACAAGCACACATATACATAATTTCCTGTGCATCCCTCAGCAGTGAAGTACTAAAAAACAAAGAAAATAGCCTTTTATCTACACCCCTCCCAGCCCGGCCATCCACACTGTCCATTCAACCATAGCTGAACTGTGCCCTTCCCGCAAACCCTCTACTGATTCTTGAAGGCCCTATTCCCATGCTTTCTTGAGCCATGAACCCCTACTGCTCCTCTCCAGGGAAACAGTCCTTAGATTAGTCATAGCCTAAATGCTGTTTGCTAATTCAGCTTCAAAGTAAGAACCTTCTCAACAGACAGTGAGAAGAGAAACATTAGGAATGTGTTTTTACTTGGGTTCCTATTCCACATGTCTGTGCATGGTGCATAATAGATGTTCAATAAATGTGAGAGGAACTGGGAAATTTAATGTTAGGGAAAGAATGAATATTGTCGGGCAGTCTCTTGGGACACAAAACTGGGAGGGATGCAGGATACAGGAAAATCCAAAGGAAGAGGAACAACTCCTCCCTTGGGAGGAACTGTAAGATAAGAACTTAGATGGATGGAAATGAGATGGGCCTAGGTGAAGACAAGTGTTTGAACCTTTCCAAGTCCTTATCCAAATATCACCCGCCCTTTATGTCGTTACAAAATTTCCTATTGACGACAACCCCAGCCCAGTTCATTATCTTTATATTTATTTGGATTTCCTACCTTTTGGAATGTTTATTTGTATACAGATCATATTTCCTTTTCTAGTCCAAACCCCAGAAGAACATTGACAATTTTGGTTGTTCCACGTCACACAGGACACATGCTAACCACTCACTCACTGTGGGTTTACTGGAAATGAACAGGAGATGAGGAGGCTACTGGGCGGGCAAGTTCGACACAGGAAAAGCATCGGTCGTGAGGAGCGAGATCCCCAGACCTGTAATTACACACTTCAAGAAGCCAAGCCGGAACGCCAGGCGAAGAGCGACGGAGAGAGTCGCTGAGGATCTGACGTCATTACCTCGCGACCGTCCTCTCCGATACCTGATTCAATCTTGAGGCTGGACTTTGGCAAAAACCTCCCCAGCCGCTCTCCGCGAGGCCCAGCCTAGAGCCACACCCATCCCTCGCATCCTGCTTTCCTTTCTCGCAACCCCTTCTCCGACCTCATAACCACCACGGGACAGGCACACTCGCGGGCGCCCTACTCAGAAGGGCGGGTCCTAAGACCGGAAGCAGGAAGTGGGTTGTGAGGACGTGTTCCGAGAAAGCCGCAGGCCGGCTAGGCCGGCGTCATGGAGCCACTATACCAACAAACGAACAAGTGAGGGCTGCGTCGGGGAGAGGGCTGGGCTCGGCCCGGGTTGCGGCCCCTGGGGATCGGGGCCCTGGGGGTTGCCATTGTGGAGGCCGAGCGTTTCCGTTTAGGCTGCTCCACACCTCTTAGGCCCTAGCGGGATGCTCTCTTATCCGCGAGGGATTCAGCCTAGGCGCGAAGGCTTGAGCCGGGTAGCTCCTGCCGTAAGCCGTGACTGCCTATTGGGAAGGAAAAGTAGCACTCCTAGGTTATAGTACTTTGTCCAGCACCTGCCAGCTCAGTCCTCCGGGTTGGTAGAACTTAGAGAACAGAGAAACTGTTGATGAGGCTTGTGTCCATGAATTCACTGCTTAGTGGGAGTGTCAGGGGTCGTACGATTAAAGTGTGTACTTGATTGGATATTAAAGAACATATTTTTGTGATACAAAGACGTTCAGGTAAATAGTGACTATTATTATTAGTCATATCTGATTACAAGTTAGCTTTAAGGGAATTGAAATTGAGTCTTAGCTTCTCGTAACTAAATTAAGTTTCCTTGATGGTTCCTTTTTTTTTCATATTGTCCTGTGTTGGGTACTTGCTGTGTCGTGTAGCTGGTATGAGGGGCCATACCTATGCTAGCTTAAGAACTTTCTATTGATCTTATGACAGCACTGAAAAAAATCTTATTCCTTGGGCCTGAAAAATAATCGTCCAACCTTCCCAATGGCTCATAACAAAAAGAATGGAAATAAGATGGTGGTTATTCTCTTTTTACTTTGTCATCAAAGTGTTTGGTTTGAGTGGGGGAAAATAAACTACATTGTAATGACAATTTGCATATTATATAAAAAGTGTAGGAAGAGATTTTAAAGAACTACCCCATGAGCCATATGGAAAAGGAATGAAGCAGAAAACTGCCTTCATTTGCTAAGAACAGAACCTTTACATAGCAAGGCACCTGGACCTAGTAGTGCACTGAGTTAATCTGTTAGTTGCTGAATTGACGAAACAGAGTCAGGACATGCTCATCTCACTAGGACTTTGAACCCAATCTGTGACTATCTCTCACTGTGAAGGAACATTGACATTAAATCAGTTATTTAAAGTCATATAACTGAAAAAATCCTGAGCACTGAATGAATGAAAAAACGAAAAACACATCTTACACTAGCAATAGCCTACTAGGATGAGCTTTAAAGAGAAGCTAATAGGCTTCCATTTTGGGGATACTCGTGTTCGTAAAGATACATTTGTCCCTTGTGTTGTCTAGCCTGCCATCCTGGATCTCATCTCTAGATAGTTTGGGTTAAGTAGGCCTCAGATACAAACAGCTCTATAGTGAGCAAGCTTTTCTGGTGGTTTTAATCAGTAGTTAGTTTTAAGAGCTATGATCTCAAGATCAGTTTGTCAGCTTGCCTTATGAGGTAAAGACTAGCTACAGAGGTAGAGTGGAAGACGTAAAAATGCAAGTGTGTGTGTGTGTGTGTGTGTGTACACACATGTGTGCTTATGAGCATGTATGTGTATATCCAAGACAGGATTTTATTACATAGCTAAGGTTAGCGTGGCTTAGACTGGCCTTGAACTTACAGTCCACCTGCTTCTCTGTCCCATGTTTTACTATGACAGGCGAGCACCACTGTAGCCACTCCTTCCCTCCTTCCTTTCTCCCTTCCCTTCCCCTTCCTTCCTTCCTTCCTTCCTTCCTTCCTTCCTTCCTTCCTTCCTTCCTTCATCACCCATCCATCCATTTGTTTGTTTGAGATATAGTCTCACTATGTAGCCCCAGCTGACCTGGAACTCATCGAGATCCACCTGCCTCCGTCTCTTGAGTTGTTGGAATTAAAGATATATACCACCACTCTCGTTACTTTAAAAGCAACAGCGGTTTAACTTGTTGCTGTCTAGGTTACATAGCATCTTCATATCGCACACACTGGGTTCTGTAATCTCTCAAATAATTGTTACCATAGCAGCTCAGTTGGAGAGTTGAGACAAGGAGGCACCAAGGAGTGAAATGACTTGCTAAGTGTCTGTCAGCTTTTTGTGTTGATCTCCATTTGCACCTGAGATCCTTTAACTCTCAAACCCTGTTTCTTGTTGATAGTGGACAGAGGTCATGAGCTGCAGACTGACTGTGGTGGAGGTGGGTGGGTAGGTTTATGACTTTTTTTTTCACTTGGGTGTTGTCCAGGCTGTTCTCAAATTCAAGATCCCCCTGCAGGGATTATAGACAGGGCCCCACTGGGCCCAACAGACTCACTGACTTCTTTAAAGAGCAGTTTCATGTAATATTCTTGCTACAACATATGGAAAGCTTTAAAAACAACAGCAGTGTCTCTTGCTTAACATGTACTAGCTCTCTGCTTAGCTGTATTATCAACCAAACTCATGATGGACCCCATGCTAGACAAGTCTGAGACTTCTTTTTCTCTCATTGTCTGCACCACCGAGTTGTATTTGGGGATCACCTATCACTTGGCTGTGTAGATGGTGTCTGGATCCTAGTTGAATGGAAGCAGATTCTCCAAGTGTTAGATTACAGCTTCCTCCATGCCTTTCACGATTGCCCTGTTGTTTGCTGTTATTTCCTAGAATGGAATGTAGAGACTGGACTTCCTTTATTGATTATGTATTTTCTAATTCATTTACAGCCAAATAAGACTTACAAATAGAAATCAAATGGAGAAAGCCAGCAGTGTTTTTTAGTAATTTCTTAAGGTTATTCTTTTTACCTTAGGGTATTACTGTTGTCTCTCTTGTCCTTGAGAGTTTCAGACTTGAAAAGGACTGACAGGAGTATCCGTTGCAACTCTCTTTGCTCATTAAAACCTTTGTAAGGTCCAGACAGTCCTTGGACCTGGTGTTGTGCATGTAGGGAGCCCTCCTTTACCTCTCCCTCCTCCCCCTCTCCCCCTCATCCCCCTCTTCTTCCTCCTCCTTCTTTTTCTTCTTCTTCAAAGACAGCTCTTAATTGTATGATTTGTAATTTGTTTCCTTGTAAAGCTGAAATGTGGAGTCTTGGAACTTGTGCCTTTTGCTTTGGGGACTCCCTTAAGCAAAAGTAGGAGGCAAATCCTTTTCTATGTTCTTATATCTATTTCAGATATTTGAAGAGCATCCTGTGGTGTCTTGTTTAACCTGTCACAAATATCAGCCTGTACTGTCTTCAGGCTCCATTTATCATAGATACCATGGAAGAAACCAACACTTTTAAAAACCAGCCAAGCTTTACAGTTATAATCCTCATTGTGTCCTTTCCCACTGTAGATGACCTGAGGTTCACTTCCCGCTTTCCCATGGACTATTGTGATTATGTAGTCTATTTGTTTGTTGAATGTGTGGATGAATGAATAACTTAAGTAATGAGTTTCATTACTTAACCATTATATTACCATCTGGAAAAAACCTATTATTAGTTATTTTATTTATGAAATATTGCAAACATATAATGAGTAATTTCACCCAATATTAGGATTCATATTAATATATATGCTTCAGATTTTTGATTTATAAACAAGCTGAATCAAAAGCACCTACGTCTGTTTTCATCCCTAGAGCTAGTCATCCTCCTTGTCAGTGATTTTCAATATATGCTACTTGTTTTGTGTGGTTTTTAATTTACCCAAATCAGATACTTAATGTACTAGGTTTCTCTTTTTCTGTTTAATATCTTTTCTTAAAAACTTAATGTCCATAGTTACATGACTAGATCAAGCTTTTATTAACATTTTAATGTAGTGTGTGTGTATGTGTGTGTGTGTGTGTGTGTGTAGGTGAGCCAGATCAGATCTGTTGTGAAGATCAGAGGACAACTTGTAGGAATTGATTAGTTTCTTCCACTATAAGTTCTGGTGTTCAAACTCAGGTTGTCAGGCTTGGCAGTATGCCCTGTCACCCACTGAGCTATCCTGCTGACCCTACTAGCTTTTATTTAATGTAGTGAATTACTGAATTCTTTCTTGATGAACACTTCAGTAATTATTAACATAGTATTATTTGTATATATCTCTCACTGAATAGATCCATGGTCCTTTATTTGAAACACTTAAATACAAGGAACTTTGAAGAATTTTTTTTTAGATATTTCAGAAAAAATTGTGTTGCAAGAGCATGGTGATATCTGCCTTTAATCCAGCACTCGGGAGGCAGAGGCAGGTGGGTCGCTCTGAGTCTGAAGTCAGCCTGGTCTATAGAGAGAGTTCTAAGACAGTCAGAGCTACATAATAGAGAGACCTTGTCTGAATATATGTATGTATGTATGTATGTATGTATGTATGTATTTTTTGCATGTATCTTTTGTCATGTAACATTTTTAACATAAGGGCAACATTCAACACATGAAAGGGGCAATAAAATGTCAGACTTTGTGGAATAAACAAAGACCATATCTTTAAGTCTGATCAATTTCCACCACATAATTGGTCTGCTACACACTTACAAGTCTTTAATCATAGATATGTAGCTTGGGTTATAGACCTGTACAGAAATGCTTTGGTGAATGTCTATTGCAAGTCTTTGATAGTAACCAGAATCTCTGTAAGACTTACTGCTAAAAGTGTGATGCTGGGTCATAGTGTGTGTAGTGATGTTACCAGAATTGTCAGAAAGCTCTTGAAGTATTTCACCAATGTATAATCCTGCCAGGCAGGTCTGAGACTGTCATGTGTGGTTTCCCTACTTGTGTCTATATCCCAGGTTCCTGAAGGGAGAATGTGATCTCATTGATTTTAACATGTGGTTTTCTGAGTTACCATTAATGTTGATCAGTTTTTATGTATTTATTTACTCTGCGTTTCCTTTAATGTCATTTATCCTTTGGCTATTTCTAAATTTGCTATGTTAAACTTTTCCTCTTGGTTTGCAGGTGTCTTTACATATATATTCTGGACATCAATCCGAATATCTGCTATAGATGTATTTGTTTGTTTGTTGTTTTGTATATTGTAGTCACATTCACTTGTCCTTTTCTTTGGGGTTTGACCACAGGTGAGGTTCTTTAACTCAACATTATTTATGCATACTCTTTAAAGTTGTCTTATTATTTTTATATGATTTTTAATTGAAATAGAATTACATCATTTTTCCCCTTTGCTTACCTCCCTCCAGCTCTGCCTAGCTACTTCCCCTTGAACCTCTCTCATGCTGACCCACTTTCAAAGTGATGCTCTTTTTTTTGGGTTATTATTGCTAAATACCAACATATGTATGTGTATGTACAAATATCTGTAAATACAACCTGCCGAGTCTGTTTTTGTTGTGTGTGTTTATGTGGTTTCAAGGCTGACCACTCTGCACTGAGCAATCAGTAAGATTCATCCCTGGGAGAATCTAACTCTCTCTCTTCTACCAGTCATTAGTTGCTTGGAGTTCTTTGTCTAGAGGTGGGACCCTGCACAGATTTCTCGCTTCCACGTTAACAGGTCCATTGATAGAGCCATTGTTCCGGTCTTGTTTATACAACCATTTTTAGGAGAGATTGTTTCCCAGCCAACTTCCTGGTGTTCGGCTCCTCTAATCTTTCTGTTTGCTACCTGTTCCTCGATGTTCCCTGAGCCATAGATGCAGGGGCTAGAAGTAGATGTATCCATGGTTTTTTGTGGTGCTTTCCATTTGCTGTAAAGGGAGACTTCTTTGATAGGGGTGATAGCTACACTTATCCAGGAAAGATAGCTTGCACACAAAGAGCCTGTTTCATTTTTCAGAAAACTCATAGGTTTTATTTTTTATGTTTAGTTTTGAACCTTCTTGAATATTTTTTGTTGGGTGGATTCCATGAAGTGTCTTCTCTGTTCAAATGGTAAATTAAACTGTCAGAATGTATTTAATTCTTTTCCATTTGACTTATGTCTCCAAGTCCCCAAGTATGTGGCTGCTCCTGGGCCCTGGTCTTTGCTCCTGGGTTCAGGGTAAGGTTGTCCTTGCATTGCCGTCACACTGTTATAACTATGCGGCTTTGTAGTTGGCGCTGAGGCTTAAACCTAGGTCCTGGCTCATGTGAAGTGATGGCTCTGTCACTGAGCTACAGCCCCAGCTTTTCACTCCTAACTCAGCCTCCCTCGTAGCTGGGATGATAGGCCTGTATCATCAGGCCTAGATTGTAGTAAGCCTTAATAGTGGGTATGAGACTCAGCTTCATACACTTACTTGTTCAGAATTGTGTTGGTTATGGTTTTTGTTGTTGTTTTAGCTGCTTCTATTTATTTTTTTATTTTATTGTTCCTTTTCTTGTAGATAATGAAATCATCTTTATGATCTGATTTAAGCTACCATTGCAAATTCACCACATTGTCTATTTCCTACTTCTGCTAATAAGAATTCTAATCTTCCTACCCATCAACCCACCAGTCCACTGCTCTTGTCCTCATCCTGGTGTTCCGTATATCAGAAACCTCTATCTGTATCCTTGCATCAGCCTGTGTGCCTCCACTGCCCCCAGCCTTGCCTTGCCCCACCCTTTCCAAAGCACCCTGCATTTCGCTTTCTGAAGCAGCTGACAGGTCTCTAGTTGTGATTTCTGGTTGCTTCTCAGGATCACAAGTCTTGCCTTGGAGCATTCAGGAAGTCTTAGACATGTGGATTGGCGCTCTGGTCACTTACAGGAAAGCTATGGAAAAGGCTAGAGATGCACTGATACCATATTGAGGCACCTGGCTGGCCCTGGCAAAATTTGAGGTCATGGTATATAATGTTCACAGTAGAGAAGATTGTTGAGCTTTCCTTTAAGGGCTGGAGATGAGGCCTCCTTCACACAGGCCCTATGTAGAAAGCCTTGTATAAGCACAGGAGGCCATTGGGGCCAACGTAGACAACATTCCAAGGGCTGACAAGTGGTGGGGAACCACTAGGAAGGGTTTGGAAGGTGACTTTGGCCTGGAAAGTCTCCAGAGAGTGCTCTGGGCCTAATGCCTGGGACATGCCAAATGAGATGGCAGTCCTCCTCCTGTTGTCAGGGAAAGGTGTTTACAAAACAGGAGATAGCTATCTCTCAGGGCCATGTTCCTAAGGGGTCCTTCCACTGCCTGGTCCCCTCTGCTCTTTCTCTCCCTGACTGTCTTCCAAGCAGTCCATTTTGCTTTCACCCCATGCGAAATGCCTTGCGTACCTTCTGCAGATCATTGTCTTCCAACCTTTCTTCACTAAACCTCGTTCTACCTTCTTAAAAGTGATGCTCAGACCTGCATTCAGATCCTGTATGACAGCATGCATAACTGTAATCCTGGCACTGTGTGGGCCAAGGCAGGAGCTTCACAGGTTCAGGGCAAGCCTGGGCTATGTAAATGAGATCTTGTTTGAAAACCAAGCAAACACAACTCCTTCCACCCACAAAACTCTAGTTTACACTTTCTTAGCCCCAGCCTTTCCATCTCGTTGGCTGCAAGTACACAACTCCTCCCTCAATTTTCTGTTTGTTTCTGCTTGTGTGTGTTGGGTTTCTTGTAAATCTTCTCAAGGATTTTTCATGTCTATCTGGCCTGTCAGTTCCTAATTACATTGTTTCTCAGGGGCAAGGATTCTGTCTCCCTTGCCCTTTCACTCTCCGCAGGCAGACCAGTGCTCAGCACATCGGGTCGCAGAACAGAGTGGGCTGGGTACTGGTTGAGGTTTATCGCCTGCTGTGTGGCCTTGAGCAACTTACTTGACCTTTCTGGATTTCAGTTTTTATTTATAAAATGAGAGCAGTGATAGTGCTTTTCCTCTTGGGGTTATTGACTTAGCAGTGTCTCAGATACAGTAAGCACTCACCAAATGCTAGCAGGATTATTACTAGCATTAGGATATTCAAAAGGATGCCAAAATGGGTGGCCTAAAGTGCCACGTACAAATTTTACAGTTGAGTAGCACTGTCAACTTAAATCAGTTGTAAGATGGCATTAGAAAAAGTTGTCTTTCCTGACTGAAGTGCTAGTGATTATTCCTGTCTCACTCATTTCCTTTCTCTTCCTTTGATAGGCAGGTCCACGAGATCCAGTCTCACATGGGACGCCTGGAGAGGGCAGACAAGCAGTCTGTGCACTGTGAGTAATTAACCAGGGAGAGCAGAGTCCTTTCTCTGATGACACGAGGCTAATGGGCTGGGTTTCCTGACTGCATTCTGCCTTCGGGGGCTTTAATGACTCAGCTTGGAATGAGTTGTTGTTAGAATGGACAGAAAAACCCTATGGCCAATAGATTTCCCCGATTGTGCCCTTTGGAGTCCCACCAGTTTTATCCCCCATTACCCTTCCACTCAACCTGACATGGCCCTATGGGAATGGAAGTTCTCTCTCCATCTGTCTTAATCTAATTACCTAGTCTGAAAATTCAGACATGTTGACCTGGAACTGGCCATCTCTTCTGAGCTGAGAACTCTGGCTTCTTAGTGGGATTATTCAGACAACTAGCAATATTAATTAGTTTAGTTCCCACACCACAGTTTCTTTTGTGAAGCATGTGGGTTGTGGTTCAAAGATTTTTGGTTTTGTTCCAAGCAGAGGCCCCTTACTGAGCTAGCCTTATAGACCTCCCTCAGAAGCTCTTGTCACCTCCCTGCCCAGCTCTGGCCAGGCCTCTTTCTGTTTCCTCTTTTTTCCATGGCTCCCCAGCCTGGCTCTTCCCTTAGCTCTGCACCCTACAGTGCTCTAATCTAAACTGTCGGTGTTTGCTGCAGGTGTGAAGGCCTAAGAAGAGGGTGGTACTGGGGCTGTCATTTCTTGTGGGGGAGGCAGCCGCCTGGGTGCGTACTCTGTGCACTTTAGTTTCTGCCCATTGGCCTTTGTTTGCCTTCCCAGCAATCTCACTGTTGCCTGATTAGAAATGGAAAGAGGTCATTTTGACAGCTTTATCAAAAGGGATAAGGAAAATGACTATCATATTTTCTACCTCTGTGGGTTCTTTCCTGGGTCTTTCCGATTGATATGTGGTCTATTTTGAGGGCAATAACACATCTCAGCCTACCCATTCTTTCAGAAAGCCTCTGGGTATTTCCATACTAATCTTCTCTTTCCTTTATGCCTTTTTTTTTTCCTTTCAGCTTCATTACTATAAGGAGTTCAGTTGGCAACCTTTTTCCTAGGGGTTTATAATCCATATCTGAGACCAATCTCAAATAGACCTATCTTAGAAAATGTAGCTTAATAGAATTATATGGGCAGCCTTTAAATATTCATTTTATTTTCTAATGGTGGGGCGTTTATGTCTACAAACATGCCTTCTACTTTAAAAACAGGGCAGCTAACCGCTGTGCATGCCTCTGTGTGTCTGTCTGGATGTAAGGATGTCTGGATATAAGGGTACACGTGCTTTGAGACACAGTATACCTTGACTTGATCATCTTTGTGCACATTGTGCTCCTTTTGGAATACATATGCTTTAGTTTGTGTTATAGAGATATGTTTATCACTTTTACTTTGTTGTTGTTGGGTTTTTGTTTTGTTTGTTGAGACAGGGTTTTTCTGAGTCTGTAGCCCTGGCTGTCCTGGAACTTGCTCTGTAGACCAGGCTGGCCTTGAACTCATAGAGATCTACCTGCCTCAGCCTCCCGAGTGCTGGGATTAAAGGCCTGCGCCACCATGGCCATGCATGATCTATCACTCTTAATTTAAGTTCATTATCTTTTTTCTAGCAGTCATTCTTTTCTCCCCCCCCCCCCCCTCTCTCGTGTAGTAGTAGAAAACGAAATCCAAGCAAGCATAGACCAGATATTCAGCCATCTGGAGCGCCTGGAGATTTTGTCAAGCAAGGAGCCCCCGAATAAAAGGCAGAATGCCAAACTGTGAGTGTTGACCCTGACATAGCTTGGATACTGCAGACCCGTAAGGCAGACCTTGCTCCCATTGGAAGCTATGGAGTGGTCTGACAATCTGGGTACATACTAAAGAAATGAAGTCTTTGCGAAGATAAAGTTTCCCAAAAATACACAGTTGTATGTAAGCAATAGACCCTCCAAATTAAAAAGTATGTGGACCCGTGATCATGCGGGTGTGTGTGTGTGTGTGTGTGTGTGTGTGATAATCCATTGTCTCTTTGAGGTAGTTTTGAAAATAGGCATTTTCTGAGCAGACCCCTGGTCACTGAGAGCTCAGTCCTGCGGGGAGTTTGGCCCTGCTGGTTGGTTCCCACTGGCGTCTGTCGGGCTGAGATGCACTTGTGCCCCAATCGCTTCAATCAGTCTGCTTATCATGAAGGGCTGTGATACTTCACCGTGAAATTCAAAGGAAAACTACCCTCACCACCACTCCAACCCCTACTCCCAAAAGTTTCATGAAACTTCATGGCTGCGCTACCTTAGAGCTGCCCTTGGGCTTCTTCCAGGAGTACAGTATAACCCTCGGAAGGTCAAGAAGGGGTCATCAAGCCTGCTTCCTGTCACCTGTTCCCTGAAAAGTCAGAGTCCAGCAGACATTTAAGTAAAGTTTCTGGAATTGTGTGTGATTGTACCCACCATAACCACAGTCTGCTGCTTGACTCAACATCTTTGTTTAGGTGCGGGTGGGCCCTGTGGGGAGAAGTGAGTATAAAGCCGCCTGCCCTAGGATTTAATCTCCGTCTCCATTAACTCCAGCCGTGTCGACCAGCTAAAGTATGATGTCCAGCACTTGCAGACTGCCCTCAGGAACTTTCAGCACCGGCGCCAAGCCAAGGAACAGCAGGAGAGACAGCGAGACGAGCTTCTGTCTCGCACCTTCACCACTAACGTAAGCCAGACACTGGGGGTTGGCAGGCGCCTGACAGGTCAGACTGAGTGCAGTTGGTAACAGGCGTCACCTCTTAGCGGGGTGCCTGAGGCTGACTCTGGAGGAGACCAAGTGGAAATGCCGGGACTTTGTGCATTGCCACTAAGACCATGCCTGGGTAGGGGATTTCTCTCCAAACACAAAAGCCTGAGGAGGAAGCAGTTAAACTGAAACAGTGGGCAGAGACGAAAATTACCTGGTTTGACTAGTCCACTGCAGAGGTGGAAGTTCACATGGTCCAGATGCTTTTGTGATCAGATAGAGACAGGTGATTAGAATTTAACCCATCTGGAGAGACGACAGCATCAGAGAACTGCCTCCAGGCACTTGCCGCTGTGCTGTGTGTGTGTATGTGTGTGTGTGTGTGTGTGTGTGTGTGTGTGTGTGTGTGTCCAGCCTCAGATCTGCCCCTGGTTTGAATGGCAATGTGGAGGAATTTGTTAACAGATGTTTAGTGTTAGATGGATTGCCTGACCTACGTCTTTTGGAATAGCCTGTTGGTTTGCATGTTTGGTCTCTTAGAAGCCCTGCCCTGTCCTCTGGCCTCAGTAGGCTCATTCTCTGCAAGTGCAACCTACTGGCCTTTTTCAGGGACTTATGTAGTGTGTTCTACCAAACGAGGTGGGTTTGAGCTTCATATTTTGTCACTTTCTAAACCTGCCAGTAGAATCCCTGGCTTAACACCTGTGTAAAGCCACACTGTGGAGAGCAGCACTGCGGGCCAGCCTGGTGATTTTCACCGCACACAGACTTGGAGTGCTCTCCTTCCTGCTGTTTGACTGGCACAACCTCCTGCCAGGCAGTGCCCCTCCACCACGGAAGCCCAGATTCCCATTGGCAGATGGTTAAACCATTGCTTCATGCCCTGCTGCAGTGCGTTTCTCCCAGTACTTCAGGTTGCGGCTTCACAGGTTTGTTTTTCTTGAGCAGGTGGGCAGACAGACTGTGGTGATCAGCAACTCACCAATGCAGTGCTGTAAACTACTGAGAAAGATGGAATATGACATGATATGTCACACTCAGGCATTTTTAGGCTAGACATGACCTCTCAGGATGACTTTGTTGATAGCCAGCTTGGTGTGTCACCAGGCTGCCCCTAAGCATTGACTCACCAAAGGAAACCTCTTTGAGTCACCTCACCCATTCTAACGAGAGCAGACTGGCACCCTTCCCTTTTCAGATGGGAAGGCGAGGCAGGTTTCTATGTAGAGTCACTCAGTAAGTGCTTGTCAGAGAAGGGGAGTCATCAGTTCTCTTACACACTAGCGTTATCACCATTTGAGAAGGTTACTAAACATGGCTCTTTCCTTTGAGGAGCTTCCGTGTTAGCAGGAAGATTCAAAATGTCCACCTAAGGCTGGTTCTGAACTTGAGCAGCAGAACAAATGGTTAATCCCCTGCCAGTGGGAACTGGGGCTTCCATGGTGGAGGGGCACTGCCTGGCAGGAGGCTGTACCGATCAGATAGCAGCAAGGCAGGACAGTCACTGCTGGTGACGACTTGGTCCTCTCCCCAGCCCAGTCTGTGTGTGGTGAGAGCCACCAGGCTCGCTCGCAGTGCTGCTGTCCACAGTGTAGTTGAAAATGAGAGTTGGCTGTGCACGCAGCCCTGCCCTGGGATCCTACCTATGTGGACAAGTTATTCCATCTCTGTGGGCTTCATCTTCTTCATCTGCAGAATGAGGAGAGCAGGAGTAGCTCCCAGCAAGCTGAGTGAGTTCAGAGAAATGCGCCTGTGAAGTAAAAGGGCTTGGTCAGTACTGATAGGGCATCTTCAGTCAGAAAGTCCAGAATCCAAAGGAGTGCTCAGTAGGTAAATCCATTCCTGAGTCTGCAAAGTCCTGAGATCTGAGGCTCTTAGTTCCCAAGCATTTCAGAGAGCCGGTGCTCAGCCTGTAGACCTCTTTCTTTTCCACTGCCCTTTCTTTCTTTAGCAGCCTTCTCTTGCCTCCTGCCCAGAACTGTGTTCCCATCCCGAACACCCTTTAGCCTTCAGTAGAAAGCACTGCCCCTTTGATCTGTAGTCTCAGTCTCATCGGAGGGATAAGCCAGCTATAGATAAAATAGCTAACGAACCACAGTAAACATGTACAAGCACACGAGCACGGACCCCTGTAAAGGAACATTTGCAAAGCTATCTATGGGAGGAGCCAGAAAAATCCTTTAGGAAAAATGAGTGAAGTCTGGACGGAATGGCCAGGCTTTCCTCAGTGGGGAAATGTGACATGAACAAATCAGCACGACAGCAGAACTCATTTGGAGAGCATGAGTCTGATACCTCTTCTGCTGCTGTGTGAGCAGACCCCGCCCCTTTACACACTCCTTTGCTTTCCCTTTTCTTCCCTGTTGGCCTCTCTGAGTCTTGCATTCATCCCTCTAGCTCTTCTGGCTTGACCTTGGCCAAAAAGGCAGAGTAGTAAGATTTGGCCAGACCCCAGGAGCTGACTGGCAAGCCAAGCTAATCAAGTGCCTGCGTTTCCTTCACAGGACTCTGACACCACCATTCCCATGGACGAATCACTGCAGTTTAACTCCTCCCTCCAGAACATTCACCACGGCATGGATGACCTCATTGGAGGCGGGCACAGTATTCTGGAGGGACTGAGGGCCCAGAGACTGACCTTAAAGGTGGGGCCCCTGCTGGAGAATAGAGAGAAGGCCTCTTATTTTGTCTTTGTTGTATAGTTTAGCTTGGTGTTTGTATTGTTCCTGTGTCCCCAGCTCCCAAGTGACAGTAAGCCCAAGCCCTTGAACTTGCAAGTTTGCCAGTGCTTGTAACGAACACAGTGGCGTTCTTAATAACTAGGGCTTTGCCCTTCTACTGACTGCATGAAATTGAGGTTGCCATGAAGGGGACTGATGACAGACTGAGAAATGCTTCTTTAGGTTTGCTCTTTTAAGAACAAAGACATGGCAGTCTTCTAAGGTGCTTTTCTTTGGGATTTTGGCTGTGGAGTACACAGGGAGGTCCCCAAGCTTCTCTTCTCATAGCCACAGATATTCTAAGAAGTCTGCCTTGTTTGTACTGCTATGACCCTGACCCCTAGGAGTGGTTTACAGAAACATTACATAGATTGCTGTCAGTCATGGGGTTTCAGCCTCAGTCTTTTCTTATATCAGCCCTGATGGCTCTGGGGGTGTGGGCTGTCTTTGTTATCAGGGTGTGATCCTCTAGAATAAAGCACTGCCAGCCACTGGGCTGTGAGAAACAGTCACTTGGAAGTGTTACCATTATCTTAGTTTTTATTGGAGCACATAGAGTCGTCTGCTCTGTAGAACTCCAGTGTGTTTCTGAGCAGCTCCTACCATCTTTACCAGGGATCGGCACATACAGGCCTTTGATGTTCACCTCTGCCGACAGTCATAGTATTTCCAATGGCTCAGGCTCAGGAGGGAGCTCCTCCTTCAGAATAGCCACTGAAAGTCTACACAGAGTCTACAGCTGGCTGCCTGCAGTTGTTTTTTTGTTTTTGGTTTTTGGTTGTTGTTTGTTTGTTTGTTTGTAGAGAACTGCCCTTTTCTGCTCTCAGGGACAGTCAAGACTTATAAAAGGCATCCATATGGCACAACTGCAGAGCTAGTATGAAGCCCAGTGTCACCGAGGAATCCATGTGCTGTTGGCAGAGGTGTCTTGCCAGGAAGCTTGTTCACATGGTGGAGCTTGACCCCTGTGATTTCTGATTCACTCTTCTCTGCATCCTCCTTCTGCCTGGCATGCCTCTTGATCTCTCCCTGCCTGGGCCAGGAAATGTTCTTCCTAAACCATTTGAGAGGAACAGGCACATGAAAGAACTGGTACAATTACTTTGATTTTAAGGTTGGAAATAGGTACTTTTTGAAATTAGCGGTCACTTTCAGGTAGTTTGGAAGGCATGACCACAGAGTAGTCTGTACTGTCATCCTAAGACAGGGGAAGGTGTGACCACAGAGTAGTCTGTACTATCATCCTAAGACAGGCTCTTTTGCACAGGTCTCCTTTCCTCATTGTCGTGAAACTTTTTCTAGTTTCCTCTGGCAGCAGACAGATTTGACTTGAGACATCCATTTTATTTTTATTTTCAATATAGAGAACCAAATGTAAGGCTTTATACATGCTAACCTGTCACTGTACCAGTGGACCACATCCCCAGCCCAATATTCCTTTCTTTGGTTTTTGAGACAGTGACTCATTATGTAGTGTTTGCTAGTCTGGAACTGGCTATATAGAGCAGACTGGTCTTAAACTCACAGGGATTTGCCTGCCTCGGCATCCTAGGCATTGAGATTAAACGTATGCACCACCATTCCTGGTTCAGAATCCTTCTTGGTGCGGCTGGTTGGTCTGTTGATCCTTGTCTGAGTAGACTGTGGGCTCTGAATTCCTGTCCACCTTACTTCGCGTCTCCTTCACCTGCATCTACTCTCAGTCGGTTATTAATGGGTGTTCCTTTTAGTAAATGAACGTGAGGCTGACGGTTAGACCATCTGTCTAAGCACACTGGGTGCCATGTGTCTTGACCTTGTACTTAGTTTTGTTACTTCATAAGAAACTGAATATACACTTAAAAATTAGGAAGCAATGAGAAAGAGTAGGCCCTTTGATTTAGATTGTGATGCATGGTAGTGTTTATATGTTTATAGAAGAAGCCTTTTCTGTTCTTTTGCCTTTCTTTCTCCCTCCCTCCCTCCCTCTCTTTCTTTCTTTTTCTTTTTTTGAGGCAGGATCTCTCTATGTATCCCTGGGTAACCTTGGAACTCAAGGAGAGATCTGCCTGCTTCTACCTCCCAATGTCTAGGGTTAAATGTATGTACCACCCCCAGCCTTTGCCATATTTCTGTCTTTGCTTCCTTTTCCACTTCAAACTCCCTTGTGAATACCCACTTTAACTCACTCAGTAGAAGCCCTAAAGAGTCCCTCTACAAAGTGACAGGTCATTATCAAGGATTGCTGGAACTAGCGAGCTGAGAAAGTTTTTCACATAGCATTTAAGAATACGTAAGATATTTCTGAAGTGTTCACAGGAGAATGGTTGAGCATGAACCCAGTTGGTGCTGTTTGTGTGTTTGGGTAATGTTTGTGTGTCACCCATTGCAAAGATTTTCAGGAAACTGGTAGTCATGGAGCATTTCAGGTAATTGGGCCTGTGACAGCAGCACTGCTCCCAGCCGGATCATGACTGGGCACTAGCACAGCTCATAAGGCAAGGGTGCTACCAAAAAAGACTCTGCCACGTTTGATTATGTACTGTGTGTAAATGAAAGCAGCCTGAGACATTATTACAAAGCTAACATGGAGCTGCTTGGGAGCTGTGATCCCCAGAACTGCTCAACGTTGAAGGTCTCTGTTGTGGCAATTCCTGCTTGGAGCAGGTATGCCAGCAGGGCCTCAGCTGTATGTAAGCCTTTCTGGAGAAGACCTACTAACACTAGCCGCTGCTGCTTACCACTGTCCAGCACTCACCTGTCAGTCTTGTGCCCAAGAGCGATAGTGATCCTTGGTCCCAGGATCAGCTGCTTTCCAGTTCAGCTTAAAAATAATGGTGTGTAAGGCAGATCTCTCAGATTAGAGCTACTGTTCTGGGGATCCAGGTTTGATCCCCACTACCCACATCATGGCTAACCATCTGTAACTCCAGTTCCAGGGTATCCAATGCCTCTTCTGACCTGCAGGCTCCTGCATCCATGCAGTGCACACATGTACATACATATGTACATACACACGCACGCATGCGCAGACACACACACACACACATATACATACTGAACTTCATATGATGGTATTTACACCATTGTGTGTGGCTTCTTCCTCTGTTTTAAATGTTCATTCATGTTATGACTTGTTTGGTTACATATGCTAATTAGGTCCTTTTTATTACCAAGACATGTATCTATATCATAATGTGTGAGTGCATGCACAGGTGTCCTCCATCCCTCTCTGACACTGCCCATCACTGAATCTGGGGCTAGTCTGGTGGCCAGCAAGCCCAGCAGTCTTCCTGTCTCAGTACCGTACAGCAGTGAGGCTGCAGGCATAACTACGCCTGGTGTTTTACATGGGTTCTGGGGATGCGGACTCAGGTCCTTATAAGCCTGTACAGCAAGAGTACCTACCCACTGAGACATCTAGCCCCAAGTTTTGTATGCACTGTGAATCAAGGTTCACTTTTTTACTGATACGTGAACTGTACTTATGTACATGTATGATGCATGTATATGTTATGTAGCCAGTTCCTGCACCATTTGTATAAAAGGCTTCTTACTCTTTGACCATACGTGGCCAACTTGGCCATGGCAGAATGAATCTATTTCTGGTGACTACTGCTTTTGTTGTCTCTGGGCATGACCAAGAAGACAGTGTCTGTTAGTAAAACCCTGGCTTGCGGTGACCTTTAACCCCCCTTGGCAGTGAGGCTGACCTCTGTTGGTTTGCTTTCTCTTCTTACCGCTCCAGGGCACTCAGAAGAAGATCCTCGACATTGCCAACATGCTCGGCTTGTCCAACACAGTGATGAGGCTGATTGAGAAGCGGGCCTTCCAGGACAAGTACTTCATGATTGGTGGCATGCTGCTCACTTGTGCAGTTATGTTCTTTGTGGTACAGTACCTGACATGAGCCGCTGTACCCAGCACTGGACAGCCTTCCCATTGTGTGCGCATGTGCAAGCAAGAAGTGGGCTGGGAGGCCCTTTTGAGATGTATGCCTTAACTGTGAAGACACCTCTCCCCCAGGACTAATTGTGGCTTAGTATCAAACCTGCTTTGTTTCCTGTGACATCTGGGGAGTAGGACCTAGGGTCACCAAGGTGTGTGGTGTTTAGGAAGTGGCTCAAGATCCTGTTCTCTGGCTTTCACTAGGGGGAGGGATGGCTGGGTTTTGTGGTTTGTCCACACAGCTAATGCTCTCCCTGGAAAGTGTGCATTGTGAGGCTTGCACACAGGACTGTCCACACTGTTCACTCCTGGTCATCACCAGCTTTTGTGGCTCCTGATGGGTGGGCTGGAGCACAATTGAGAAGATGAGGAGAGAGGTCTTTCCCTGTGCTGTCAGGGATAGATCAGTTCTCACATCCTTGCTTCTAGCCACTGCCCAGCCCCAGCCCCTAAGAAAACATGACATAGGTGACTAATTGCTAACACCGGCACCCTTTCCTGGAAGCAGCTCCTCCAGGGAAGCAGTGCTGCTGCTGATAATGTAAGCGTTTCCATGCCACAGTTGCTGGGTGTTTGTCCTTCCTGAAGTGCGGCTAGCAGTGTTCCCAGGGAGTGTTCAGTCTGGACACTGAAGCCCTGAGTCACCAGTGTTTTCCAGTTAATGCAGCAGTGGCTCTTACAGTTCGGCTCAGACAGTAGCTTGGCACCTCCACCCAAGCTTTGATGGGTGGGCCTTTGCCACTTTGAAAGTAGCCACGAGCAAAGGGTGACTTGTCAGTTACAGATTCATCTAGTTCTGCCAACTCAAATTCTTTGACTGTCTCTCCCTTGAAATATATTAGCAATATATCAATCAGCTAAGCCTCCATTTTTCCAAGCCCTCATAGGCCTCCCTGGGGATGCCCCTGGTAAGTGTGTTTTTGTGACTGTTTCAGGGACCAGGTCATTTTTACTTTTCCCAGCTGTGATCAAGGCTGTGTCAGTACCTGGTGTATTGCAGAACTTGTTTGAAAGTTAATGTATGTTGAGCACATTTATTTTGATTAATCTCTGCAAGTACTAGAGCGATCTAGTGAGTTTATTTGTTCATCAGTCACAAGCCCTGCCCACCCAAGCAGTTCTGAGTTTAGTAGCCTCCTAGTAGGAAAACAGATGCCAGAATTCCTAAGAACTGGAAACTGGTCAGTAGTAATCCTTCCTTTGATTGCCGTACCTACTTCCTGTGCTTGCTTAAGTGTCCTGCTGTCTCCCTCTTCACAGTGTTGCATCTCACCCCTCCTATTGAGTAGCAGTTGGTCTCTGGGGTACATCTGTGGCATCCTTCTGGGGAGGTTTGTCAACTGTATACACTTTAAACCTGAGTTTCCTGGGTACTAGCTTCAGTTCTGGTCAGATGCAATGTCTGTTGCTCCTTCCCTTTAGGCTAAATGTGCCATAGCTGGCCAGAAAGGAGGACTGTGACCCCTCTAGGAAGAGCTGATAGTCTGCAGAGTGGGAACAGTGGTCTGCACATCTCCAGACCTACATCTCACTTTGGGGAGGCAGGTGGGCGTGGGCTCTTGGCTGGCCATAGAGTGTATACTCCACAGACCTGATTCCTGTGCCCCCCGGCACCTGAAGTTCCCACTGGACAGCATGCTTTGGAAGATGTACAAGCTGTAACTGAGCCATTTGGACTCAAACTGTGGGCAGCAAAGGCCCCAGCCCCTGCCCTGCATTGACCGCTGGGCAGTGTTCTGTAGCACATTATAGTGTCCGCCTTTGTAGCAATCCTTGGCTTTAGTGACTTGATATCCCACCTTCACAGTGAGGTCTCCCTTGGAATGCAGTTGTGGTAAGGTGGTCAGCATCACTGCCTGGGGCAGGGAACGGAAGCAGAGGATCTGGACTCCAAGGGGCATTGAACTCGCTGCCCAGGCTGCCCTCCCTCGAATTCAGTGCCTTGTGAGATCACTCTGACCTGATTGGGTGAACTGTCCTTTCCAGCAGAGGGAAGGGCCCCTGGCCTGAATGGGATGCCCTCTAGTGGAGGAGGCCTGCGTTCTTATCGGAGCTTGTCAGAAGCTGCAGCCTACCAGATGTGTACACCTTTGTGCAGTAGTTTAAGTGACAGGGTTTGACAGGTGCCAGAAGGAATCTAAAACTAAGTAAATAGATATATACTCCATGTATGGCCACGTGAAGGAATGCTAAATCCTAGGACCAAGTAAATAGTAGGTTTTACAGGTTTCATTTCAGGCTCTTTCTCAAAAGCCAGCTTGCCCTGTTGAATTTAATAGCTTTGATTATATTTTCACCCCTTGTTTTCAGAACATGTCAGCTGAATAAAGTTGAGGTTTATGTAGAAAATGTTAAAGGAGCACTTGGCATCCTTTGTCATGACTACCCCTTTGTTCCTAGGTTAGAAGCATTCATATGCGCTGTTTCCGAGCCATAGGCTGGGTAGCTAGCTGTCTCAGAAGCAGCTGGAGAATGTGAAAGTATAGGCTTTGGGACATCCCAGACACGATTCAGAACAGTTCTTAAGGTTCCCAGGTAATCTGCCATGTGTTTGTTGAAGGCGCTACCTCCTAGATAGCTGTTTTCTTAAAGACATTAGCACTGGGAAGAATCTGGAACCCGTTCTGCATATATGTGCAAGGAGCAAGACCAGGCAAGTTTCCAATGAAGTCTTAGTGTACCTTACCTCATTCCAGAAGAGTTGAGGACTTAGAAACAACTAGGGGCTGGGGCTGTCACTCAGTGACAGTGCTAGCCTGGCATTCATACCGCAGTGTTCCATTAGCAGTGCAGGTCCTATAACGAAAACAAGAATGTAGGGCCGGGGTTGAGGGCTCAGCAGTTAGAGCACTGGCTGCTCTCCCAAGGGGCCTGGGTTTGGTTCCCAGCACTACAGCCATACTAACTACATACTACAATTCCATAAGATTCGGTGCCCTCTTCTGAATTACGAAGGTCCAAGGTACACATACGGGTTGTGCACAGAAATCCAGGCAAAACACCATATACAGAAATGGAAATAGATAAGACTGAAATACAAAACTAGGACTACAAACATGAAGGAAGAGGCATGTCATATCAGGAAAACTCGAACACAGGTCACAAGCCCTGTGGACACAACTCCAGGAGTCTCTCATGTAACTCACAACAGCAGAGGAGCGTGTGACTGACTGAACAGGGTGGGTGTCACCTGTCCTCAGGCCAAGACCAGACCCTTTGTACTGCCAGCTTCCCCATAGCCTCTTGTGTAGGAGAGATGGTCTTCCCAACCCTGAGTTAGATACTGTGATAGGCCTGCTGTGCAGACAGTGGGCTAAGTCATAATGGCTTTCCAGAGAAGCCAGCTCTTTATGTGGCTGTAGTCCCAGCTCTACCAACCTGCCTCTTCAATCCCTGAAGATGCTCTGACAGAACAGGCAACAAGGCAGCCAGCTAGCATCTAATGAATGTCTCCAGGTGCTAGGTGGTACCATACCCACACTTTGCCACTAGAGGGTGACATATCTCCAGCTATGGCTGGTCCTCTCAGAGGCCCTTGATGCTAGCTAGTTCCCTTTGGGGGCAAGTTTCTTGGCAGTGCAGTGGCTCTGGACTGCTTTAGAACTCTAGAGAAGCCTGGCAAAAGATGACCAAGGAGACCCCAGCAGTTTTCAGGACTCCAGCCCTCCCCTCAGCACTTCTGCATGCTACAAACAGGCATGGAGACCATTTCTAAGAGTCACTCCTCTGCTTTCACCTCACATTGCACACAAGAGGAAGAGGAAACAGGATGGGAAGAGGTTTGAGGATCGGGCAGGGCCTTGCCCCCTCCAGTGCAGCAGAACACGCATTGCAACACCCCCCCATCTCATCCACGTGTTCTAGTGACCCGGTCTGCACTGCTCCATGCTGCCCCACGTTTAGGAACCAGATGACCTGGTTCATTCGGGTCAGTCAAAAGGGTCTAGCAAGAGAGAGTGGGGATGGAGGGGCAAGAGACACGAAGAATGAAGACAAGACAGGGTGTGTGATCAAGTCCCCTTTGTTGAAAGGACATCCTGGGTATATATAAGCACAAGCAGGGGAACACAGCTGAAGACACTTTACCACGTGTGCCTTGCAGCTGCGGGCACTAACCAGCAAAACAAGATATGTGAGAAAAACAAGATGTTTATCAGAGTGTGCTCAGCTGTTGTGGGCTGTTGAAAACAAGTCTCTTATCAGGGTATATGGCCTGAGATGGCTGCAAAGATGATAACTGCTTTCTGCCAAGAGTTGGCTCCCAACATTTTAGCAGCATTTGGTTCTTCTAGCAGCATGTGGTTCCCCACATGAAAGCATTTTACTTTGACTAGTTTGTCAGCGTGGATGCAGAATGGACATTGTGCATTCCCCAGATGCCTGTCATGTGCAGATACAACCTCAGCTGTAGACAGGAATGGCCGTCCAGGACTAGATGGCCCCCTCTCTCTTTTTTTCCCATTGGTTCTACTACATTAGACCATCAGAAAGGGCTTATATGGTCCTTAGCCAGTGGTGGTCTTCACTCTCTGTTGACACTCTGTCTCCTGAGAAAAGTACTGCCGGGTGAGAGGCTAGCCCTTCCCTGTTTGTACAGTACACTTTCCAGCCTTTCTGCACCACACCTGACTAAGGGCTCCATGTTCTCTGCCTACTGGGAGTTAGGGCATACCATGTCTGCTGTATGGGGAACAGTAGCTGCTCTTCAGAGAGGTCATCAGCACATAGTACGCAGTCACAAGCTATTATGTCAGTGGCCTGCAGGCAGCACCTCAGCCCAGCCCAGCCCAGATGCTCAGCAAAACTGCTGTAGTCATATACCCAGAAGCCAAGAGTTCGTGGCTACTTAGCTATGGCCCACATGCTCATAGGGCCTCAACAGCAGCAGTGGGAAAAGTAAAGGGCAAAAAGGCATGGGCCACAAAACAATGTGTCAATCAGGCTGGAGAGAATTCAGGAAACTGACTAGCATTTGGTTTTAAAGTAGAAAGGTCTGTAGGAGCAGCCTTCCCAGTCCCTAGTAAATAGGGGCAGACAGTGATGACTAGGGTATCTGAGTGAGGGGACTGGCGCCGTGAGAGGCTGCTCTGGCTCAGCCATTCCAGTGGTGGCATCTTAGAGACCCTTCTTCCAGACACCAGTGGCAACCACTGAAGGGCTGCTAAGGCTGTTATAGTCTAGAGAGGATGTGGAGAGGGGACCACAGTGACAAGCTCAGTTCTTGTCACTGAAGTGATGCTTCTCAGCCTTGGCCACTTCCTGGAGGGGTTTTAAAAGTTTAGGGGTCAGTCCCAAGAGGCTTTGAGCTAGTCAGTATGGGATTTCTCAAGGGCTCTCCTGGGAAGGCTCCCAGTGCCTTCCGAGTGTGGTGCACCATTCATCCCATCCAACTAGAGGTTAGCCCTATTCCTTCAAAACAGCCAGAGGACACAGCAACTCAGAGTCCCCACAGCTGAGGGACCATGGCTCTCAACAGCTGTCTCAGGACATTTACTAGGTGAGGCTTTTCCAGAGATAGGGAGATGATGAGCAGTAACTGGGGTTTGGAGGAGAGGAAGAGCCAGAGGGACTGAAAGGGACAGAGTGACTGTGGTGTTCATAAGCTCTCACTAGCTTTTGGCTGCAGGAGGTAGTGAGACAGCTGCTGGGAGGGTGGGTGCGCCCATCACTGCCTGGAGCCCATTACAGCTGCCTGGAGCCCATGAAGAGCCGGTTGCCCTTCAGAGGCAGAGAAGCTTGAGGCAGAGCTGAATGCATAGTGGGTGTTAACTCGTCAGAGATACAGGCGTGGGTTGTGCAGGAAGAAATTGATTCCTCTCATCACATGAACTTGGAGGCAACAGGTGCCATGTGGGCAGAGCCCACCCTGCAGCCTTCTCACACTTCTGTTAAGAATAGTTTTCTGTGTCCGGGACATGTTGACACAGGTTGAGAGGCAAGGAGTAGATACCTCTCTAGGAGGGCAGAGCAACCTCAGAGCCACAGAATTTGGGAATATAAAGTTGTTTTAGAGACAGCCGTGGTCTCCTGTTGCTGGTCAAGTTCTGTTGCTACAGTCAGAGTATGCATTCGGTGTCCACAGCAATTGAAGACAAGAAACTATTTCTTTTTCCACTTGTGGCAGAAGGCAGCCTTTCTAGGGACTCGAGAAAACCCTCAGCTGGCGGCCCCAAAAGCTAAACTCCAGAACACGAGCTGTAGCCATCTCTTGGATAAGAAGACATTGGAATAAAAATGTTAAACTCATCCTTAGGTGCATCCTTGGTTAAAGATGGGGATGCCTGGGAAACTCAATGAAGGAAAAAGTAGCTCAAACCCAGCATTGCCACCTTTTAACATAAGTCAACTTCAGGAGCTGAAGAGAGGTTATTCTATAAAAACCACTAGCTGCTGCTCTTGCCAAGGACCCAGGTTCAGGTCTTAGAACCCACATTACTCCACACAACCCTCTGTAGCTGCAGATCAGGGGATCCAGTACCTCTTCTGGCTTCACATGCACGTGCACGCATGTGCTACCCCCTCCCCCCAGCAAAACAGTCACTTATGAAAACAACGAAGTCGGTTTAAGCTGTGAGTGGTAAAGAAGGCCTGGAATCTCAGCACTTGGGAGGCAGAGGCAAAAGGGTCACTAGTGAATCTGAGATCAGCTTGAGCTGCCCAGAGAAAGCAATCTCGAAGTAAAAAGAGGCCAATTTAATGACTAGATATCATGGGGCAGCAATTAGATGCCAGGCACTTGGGACAGAGGTGCCTGGGATCCAGAGGGACAGGAGTAACTAGACTATCTTGGAGGGTGCTGCAGTGGGCTGAAGATTGAGGCAGGGACCTGGGCAGATAGGAGGAGTTGGTTTAGCATTCAGTGGACTGGATTTAGGGGGCACTGAGTGAAGAGTGGGGGGGGGGAAGCTGAGGAGGGAGACAAAGGCTGAGAGCAGATGCAGATGGAGGTACCATGTCATTCTGGAACCCAAAAAGGTAGGGAAGGGGCTGTCATTCCTGAATTTCAAGCTCTTAGGAGCCACACAACCTAGGAAGGAGTAGACCATGGCTCTACAAGTCTCCTCAGGAGCACCCAGTAACCTGGTCTCCCCATCTCCAACCTAGTGAAGTCACCACTCGAAACTTTGGGTTTCATCTATTGAATCTGATTCCTGTCTGTGTAATGGGATAATAACGACATTCCCCAAGGACAGCTCACACGCCTGCATTTGAGAGCACAGTCAATGGAAGTGATGGTGTTTTTTGTTTTTTTTTAAGAAGGCAGAAGAGTTTTCATGACTTGATTGTGAAGATCAGCTGGTCTCTTTATTATGTGAACTTGAGCAAGCCGCACCTTCTCTCCTGTGTTATTATGTG